TGTTGACAGATGCAGGTCTATGTGCGTGCTGCAAATGTATGTAAGTACGAACCAGCTAACCTACCCAAGCACCATGTATCTCTTGCTCTAGTCTAGGGTGAGAAGTCGTGTACATATGTAGGTATAAGTGGTAGGACGTAATTGGATTGGAAAGATGGTTGTCTGGGGGGGTGCCGTATGCGTTCCCCTGCGCAACTCTTCTCCAACGGGATACCCTTTCGGGGTTTGTCTTTTACCTGGTAGATGGCGTGCATAACCCAGGCAAGCCCAGGCCAGGAACGTCAAGCAGGTCGACAGGTTCGTCAGGTTCACGATGCAACTTTGCTGCCATGACATGTCGACTCGTTAGCCCGGCCGCATGGGTACATAATGTAGGTGCTTCTTCTCCCCGATGGTCCCCCCTTTCCATGTTGCAAATGCAAATCCTTCACCGGTCGGTCAGTGGTTTCTGGTTCTCTCACCCGCTCATACAAGCATCTTTCTTTACACACATTTCATCCTACCTCATCATTATTAGCCTTACATACATACCTGCTTATGTAGGTATGTACACATACACCATCATACCTACGTTGAATCTCTAGTCCCCTCCCCCCCCTGGAGATCTGCTTTGGGCTCCTTGCAGGTGCGCCAGATGCGGCACCCATTTTGCATCCGCGGTCGATAGACGAGCCACCGTAGCGCAAGACTATCGTCCAGTATCTGCGCTTTGGACTGACAGCGCCGATCTCCTGGGTCGGTCCCAGTCACCACCGCGACATACCTAAAAGGTACATATCAACTCCACATGAGAACTCCCCAGTCAGTCAGTAAATAAGTAGCCTACCTAGTAGAATTGGCATGGCACAACTACTCAACTGACTCGAAATGTGCCCAACAGGTAAAAAGAGGCGCTCAAAGGGCTTTCTTTTTTATTGTCGTTGAATCTGCTCTCTGAAAGTAGGTAGTGGGACAGTTTATTTTCGTTCTGCTTGCTAGCTCGAGCTTTCGCTCTTTACATATACCTACTCAACCTACTTCGAGGTAGGTACACGACATATCTAGGGATCCGGTCTACATATACTTTACCTAATATCCACAGAAATTCTACCTGATGTCTATCTGCGCTTCTTCCTATCAACGGCCCTCCTAGCTCCAGAGTTGGAAGAAAGACCATTCCCTTTTTCGTGCCTACTCCGATCACGATATCGTCTCAAACTCCGCGTCGCCGGTTTCGTTCGTTTTGACTCACCCACCACATCTATTCTTTCCCCCCCTCCCCTTTTGTCCCCATCTCCCCGTGACAAAGGAAGGAGAACATTCGAACCGAGTCGTCGCAGAAAAACAATTATCCCGGGAAGAAAGAGACGAACGGAAAGAAGCTTCAAATTACACAACATCATATACCCCGTACTGTTATTCGTCGGTCCTTCGGCTGATCACGACTTACACACATACACACTCACGCACACACACATACGGAGAACCCGCTAATTAAACCGCCAGTCTTCGCCCCCAATCCCGGTTTTCGTGGGGTATCGAATGCTTCGACAATTGGCTATCGTCGACGGGCATTACGATTGACCACCACTCCCACCACCACGTTTTCTTCCCGGCATCACGTTACAATGAATGCCTCCATCACATTTCTGGTACGTTATAAAGTACCCCCAAGTCCCCTGTACCAGCGAAATTTCTCTGTCGTTGTGCTGTGCTTTCTATTGCCATGTATGTCTCAGTTCAGCACATGCGATTACATTTGTATGATTTGAGACGACGCGGGGTTGTCTTGACGCCGAACTGTGCCAATCTGCGGGGCATCTGCATTCAATGTTGGCGCATTTGAGCACAAGTGCAAGTACGAAGTACAAGTACAGTACTTACTTTCATGTGTCACACCCGTGGACCGTAGCACCTGGGCAGCGCTTTTGTCAGCCATTGAAAGTCTTCTGGTGGCGTCATTGCTTGCCCATGTACCGAGTACCTAATTCAGCGTTTTAGTTGAATGGAACACGAAGAAGTTTCCAGCAGCAGAAACCGTATCTAACCGACATATGTTTGACTACAATTTCACCTTATAGCCAGCCCAGTTACTTACACCGTCTCGTCTCACTTCTAGGAAGGTACTTTCAGCTTAATACATATCCCCCTGGATCTATACTCGAGCTTCCTCCAGCCCATAGTACAGGTCCTGCTTCCACAGGACGAGGAGACGACAGACGATCTACTCGCTGATGATGTCGCCGGCCTCAGCATCGACAACAAGCATGGCTTCCTCAACATCAGTATCACCCCGGTCGAGTGCTCCGTCGTGTGCCATACCGAATGGGCCCGGAGGGTGTTCGAGCCCGTCGTGCGCAAGCTACCCACGGATGTCTCCAAGACCGTTACCATCTCCAACGACAGTTACCTTATCCTGTCTGTCATCAGCACCGGCATGAACGCCGGCAACCAGGTCATGGAGTTGACCTCGCCCCTCGCCCTTGCCGGCATCCCTATCTTTTTCATCACCACCTACTACTCAGACTTCATTCTCGTCCCGGCTAGGGACCGCCAGACCGTTGTCCAGGCCCTGTTGGCCCGCGGCTTCGAGTTCCTCGAGGACGAGTCCGCCTACGTCTCACCCAGCGCCATGACCCACGCCCGCGGAATGAGCCAGAGCAGCGAGCCTCCCTCGACTCCGCCACCCTCCACCGTCGCCGAGCTCCAGGCCCGCACCTTTGACCTCCTGAAGAAGCGCCACGTCGTGCCTTACATCAGCCCGGGCCTCCGCCTAGCCCAGTGCTCCGGCCGCGACACCTCGAACCTAGCGGTCGACTACTACAGCCCGCGACCGGCGCTAAGCCGACAAGGGACGGGCGGCGGAGGCCGCCAGAACGGCGACTACTACGGCTACAACGGCGACAGCGGCGGCGGCACCCAGCACCGACAAAGCTGGCTCGACAACGTCGACACCAAGCTCTACACGAGCCTGATGTCGGTGCTGGCGGCGCAGCCGCGGTTCCTGTCGATCACGCTGGCGCAGGAGGACGGGCCCTCGCTGCTGGTGGACAAGTCGCTGCTGCGCAGCTTCGGGGACGCCCTCGTCGGTGATACGGACCGCGACCTGGTCCCCATCTTCCTCGACCTGCATAATCTGCCCCTTGAGGCTACGGGCATCGTCTCGGGTGTCGCCGGCACCCTGGTCGAGAAAATGCGGATGACGGACGACAACAGCAGCAGTAGCGACGCGATCGCGAGCGAGCTCTCGTACCTCTCGACGGCTCGCGCCGGCGCCGTCATCCTGTCGGAGGAGTCGAGTCTCAAGGCGTTGGAGGTCTTGGGGCCTTTGCTCGAGTGACGTGGGCCAGGTAGGGAACGGGGAGCGGGTGTAGGGCGTAGGGCGTTGCGCGTGTAGGATATACCATACGATTCCAATCAAGTAAGTCGAAAGAGAGGTTATAAGGGAGTGGAAGAGATCATGGGTGAGAGATAATTTCAAAGAAAAGGGGGAAAATGGTGATAGAAGGCGGGGTAACGAAGGGGAGAAAGAAAAAAGACAAAAATGGACGAATATGACGATCTTACGATCTCTCACGAAACGAATACCTACCTACGAAACGAAAAGAAAAGAAAAGAAAAATCCTCAAAAGGGGTATTCTAATTTTGGGTTTTTCCCTTCCTCCTCCTGTCTTTTCCGCCACTATTCCCCTCTTGTCTCTCTTCTCAATATTATCAAATGCATTTTATCCCCCCCTTTCATCTTGTTTGATAAAAAAAGCATCACGCCAAATAGTAAGGGGGTTGGGGTTGGGGTTAGCATATCATCCATCCATCACCTATCTCATCATGAGGTTGGGATGGGATGGGATCAATTTTCGGCTTCTTTTTTTTTGTCTGTCCTTTCTTTTCTTTCGTTCTTTTGTTTCTTTCCTTTCCTTTCCTTTCCTTTTCTTTCCTTTTCTTTTTTTTCGGGTGCATGAAGCATGAAGCATGAGGCATGAGGCATGAGGCATGAGGTATGAGGAGATTAGGGGACTGGTTTTTTGGTTTTTTTTTTGAGTTTGAGTCATGAAAAAAATTATTCATTTTTTGGGGCGTTTATTTGCTGATTTTGATTTTGATTTTTTCTTTTTTCTGGTTCGTGCATTGTTTATCAAGGGTTGTTTTATAGTTAGTTGGTGTGCTGCATGGGATGGAAGATGGGATGGGAAGGGAAAGGAAGGGAAGGGAAAAGGGGGGTTCGAAGATAGATAGATACCCGATGATGGAGGAGTGTAGGAGGAGGGATGGGAGTGAGGGAAAAGGGGAAAAGGGGAAAAGGGGAGAAGGAGGGAGGTGAGGATGGGGGAGGGCCGGGCTCCTGGTGTGTGTGTATATATATCTTGCGAGGTGTGTAGTTCGTAAAGGTGTTGTAACATTCTTGTTTATGATTCTCGCAGCGTGAAATGAAAAAAGACTCGCGTTGGCCGGCGGGTGTTCATCGCGATAGTATCGCTCGCTACCTACCTAACAAACCCTTACAACCCCTTCTTCTCCTGCATTACCTCCTACAACCCCAAGCGAAGCTCCGTCTCCTGGTCTCCCTCCCCCCTATTACTGACTACCTCTTTGTGGCCCCCTTTCCCGGAATGCTTCCTTTCCCGCTTGCTTTACTCATCAATATGTCGTCGTCGCTTCTCGCCCTGTTGGGTTATTGTTATCCTTGTGTAATGCAATTGCAAAAGATCACCTTAAGATCTCGTCGTTGCTTGTACTGGCGCCCTTCAATGATAGATAGAATATCACCACAATAACAAGTTTAAATTGATAGGAATACTTCATACAAATACTCTCTTCTCTATATCTTATACCAACCACACATATCATATACATAGCATTCAAAAGCAAAAAAAAGACTATCATTAAAAGGGTACATATATATACCCAGTCAGCAGAAATCATATAATAAAATATATTTATCATAGCAGCAAAATGAAAACCCCATCTTAATACAATTTCTGGAAAAAAGAAAAAAAGAGAGAGCGTATTGAAAGAAATTATACCAGGAGTGGGTTTCGAACCCACGAAGTCTTACGACATGAGATTAGCTTAAGGTTCTCTAAGTTAAGAATTCTTAAGTCTCACCCCTTTAACCACTCGGGCATCCTGGTTTCGGCTTTTTTGATTGGATAAGCAAACATAATGATAAAAATTCGCGTTATTGGGGATTATATGGCATTGGGTGCGGGGTAAGTAAGTGGGGGGCGTTGGCCTGGCCGGCTTATCTCTCTCTCTCTATCTGGTACTTTGGTTGATTTGAGAAGTTAAGCTTGATTGCTTGTAAAGGTAGATAGATATACCTGCTGATGAGGGAGGGACGTTTGTTGTTGGTATGTTTTTGTGGGATTGATTGGTCTTATCTTCTTGCTTTTTACCTCGTGCAATTGAGTTTTGGGGTTGATGGGTAGGGGGATATGGCGCTTTGAGAAGGCGGCACGTATGGCTGGCTCATTCGACTATGGACGAGCGACGGCGAGCTTGGGTATTGGGAAGTGTTCTATCCAGGGGACATTGAAGCCGGGGGTTTATATAGTCGGATATGTCGGGTCATTGTCGTTTCAGGGCTGCTTGTGTGGCGTGTGGCAGGTATATATAGATAGAGAGGGTAGGCAAGCAGGCAGTTGAGTAGTTCTGGGGAAAAAGATGGTCACTGAACCGGGGATGAAGGTCGCGACGACGCTGAATGTGTTCATTTTTTTCAGCGCACGTAGGAGAGAGGAGAAGAATGAGGAGACAGGAAGTTGCCATGGAATTGTTGCTTGCTTCATATTAATAAACCTAGAAGAGGTTTCATTCATCCTTTCGGCGGTTTAATGTCGAGCATACAAAGTTGTTCTGCATATACCCCCCTTTTTTTTGTAACTCGCGCAGGTGCTGGGTGCGGTTTGATACGAAGAGATCATTAATTCCCGGAAGTACACAAAGGTCTGTCTAGCTCTATACTTGGGGGTAAGAATCATGGTGGCCATACTCGTCCCAGAGCTTGACATTAGAGAGAAAACAGAAAAAGCGTTGCCACCGGGCACCGAGACTCACTGGGGGGCGTGGTAGTAAATTATCTATCAAGTAGCTTGAGGATATTGAGCTATCCAAACCATGCAGGACTCCCAAACGGCCAAGCTATTTACCACTATACCTACTTACCACTTGTCTCTCAGAATTTGAACTGCTCGCCCGCCTTCTCGTACAGGTACGCCATCCCGGGCACCCTCCAGTCGTCGCGCTCGACGTAGCTGGTCACGTTGGCGTCGAACACGAAGTTGCTGCCCACGCCCCCCACGCCGGCCCCGTCGACCCGGTACGCCGGCCACTCCGGGTACCCGGGCAGGCCGTGCGCGTTGGGGTCGAGGCAGTTCGCGAAGCTCACCCACATGCGGCTCATCAGCGTCGACACCTCGACGTAGGCGGGCCGGTCGACCAGGCTCCCGTTGAAGGGGTTCGTCGCGTAGCCCATCCCCTCGATGTTGTTGAACACCCAGGCTACCTCCTATGCCGCGCGCCGAGGTTAGTGAAAGTCCACAGGGAATGCGGTATCATGTGTTCTACAAGTCAGCCCTGGAGGGAATTTACGTGGGGTTGTATGGTCGATACACCGGCGTTTTATACGAAGTACTCTCCTGTTGGGACAGAGCTCGGTGTACCATTTAGGTCGACACGCACATATCATTTCAGGGGGTGACTTGTAGTACTCATAGGCCGATAAATGGGCGAAAAGGGGGCGCCCCATCACTCACCTGATAATGCGTGACCCCGGTACTCAGCGGTATGCCCGCAGGCCTCACATTGAACCGGTAGCTATACGCCGTCACGTTCACCCGCGCGAACGCCGTGACCGCCGCCCGGCGCGGCATGTGCTCGACGGCGTCGCCGAAGAAGGCCGCCACGCGCTTCCACTGCGTGCCCAGCGCCGCCGCCTCGGCGTCCGTCAGCGCGTACCCCGCCGGGATCCCGACCGCCGGCACGTCCGGGTACAGGGCCTCGATGGTGGCGACGGTGGCGTCGTCCGGACCGCCCTCGGCCACCGCCGCCCGGAACGCCTCGTCCGTGCTCACGCCGCTGGGCCCGATGGCCGTCCCCTCGTCCGTGTTGGTGCCGTATAGGATCGGCACCCGCACGAACCGCCCGCCCTTGATCGCCGTGCTCTGGTACTCACGCAGGAAGTCCCCGTCCACGACCGGCACCCACGGCCCCAGGCCCGTCCCGGCGATCCAGGTGTCCGTGATGTTGAGCGCGGCGTTCAGGTCCTCGAATGGCAGGGCGCGCAGGCACTCGAGACTGTCCGTACTGCTGCTGCCGTTGTTGCCGCGATCGCATCCCGTGCTCGCCGTCAGGTTCGCGTACAGCTCGTTCTGGTACGTCGCGGGGTCAGGCGTCGCGTACGGCCAGCGCTCCAGCGGGCCCCCGCTCTCCAGGATCGCCGCCCGGAAGAGCCCGTCGTCGCGGCCCCCGTATGCCGTCAGGTGGCGGCCGATGGCGATGGCGCCGGCGCTCTCGCCGAACAGCGTGACCTTGCGCGGGTCGCCGCCGAACGCCGCGACGTTCTCCTGGACCCAGCGCAGGGCGAGCCGCTGGTCCCGCAGCCCGACGTTGGCGTCGCCGCCGGCCGCGGCCACGGCGTCGGACCACAGGAAGCCGAAGGCCGACAGCCGGTAGTTGAGCGAGACGGCGACGACGGGGATACTGGCCTCGACAGATTTCTGCACGCGGTCGGGCTAAAATGTATCAACTCGCAGGAGACAAATGGTGATACCCGGAGAACCTTGGCCCTATGAGTGAACCTGGTGTTCTATTTATTGTGACCCCCTATCGCGCGGAATGTTATGCCCCTTTCCATAATCGAACAGCTCGGCGCAGCCCATCACACATGTTGTACAATACGAGCCCGCCGGCAAGGAAGAATGTCGTTACAGCCTAACACGTGGTGGATGATTGGAATATCTAGTGACTCCTCACACTGCTGAGAAATATCGGGGCAGGATCAGCTAACCGCGAGGATGAATTCCTGTCTCTTGTAGGGGTAGCCATAACATGCTCGATTTCGGGCGATTGCGTCACGGGACTGAGCCTGGAGAGCGCGGATACGAACAAGAAGAAGACGAAGCTCCCAGACTGGGCGATGGATGCGAGGTTTGGCGGTCTCCGGCGGCACATCACTGAGACCGAGGAGGCTACAGACCGAGGTAGCCTCCTCGACCCCGGGCACGGCTCCGGAGTCCGTCTCGATCGCAGCAACGCTTTCACGGGCGAGGGCTCACGAGGAATCATTGCCGATTGTCGTGGAGGGTCTCTCCAGCAAGCTATGTGCCACTCTGATGATCGATCCGGGGGAGCTAGACGCGGCATTAGTCGCCCAGCACGTGTAATCTCGACAGCCTCGATGCCATGAAGCTCAGGAACTGGGTCACGAGAGAGCTCGACCCAAGGAGTCGCTGGCGAGTGTGGCTTCGACGATTGTGAAGAGAAGGCAGTTAGTCGGCTGCTACCTAAATAGTTAGTAACATAGATATGAGGAGAGTAGTAGGAATCTCCAGATGAGAAACAGCGGCAAACATGAATTGCGTCGATATGTGTATGATATGGGTGCTGGATATGATACCTCCCTGGGCGCTTCCTGAGCAAACCCTGGTCTCTATGTGAACCCCTTTAATTAATAATGTCCAGGGGTACTGCAGTGTCCTCCACAGCCACCGTTGTGAGATATAGACCTAGGTCTTAGGACTGATCAAGGAGGGACAGAGGGATTCATGAGCATACTTACAGTGGGTAGAGAGAGTTGCTTGAAGATAATATCTCGAACACTGACGGCTGAGATGTAGCTGCAATATGGAGTACTCCACATTAATAGGCCCAGCTGAGTGGCTCGCAGTGAACATTCCTTGCCTCAGTCCGCGCCCCTGGTTCCCCCAGATGATCGCTAGAACGGTGTCTCATTGGATCGCGGGCGACTCAGTTACGCAATCGACAATCCCCAGGCGGCAGTCTCGCATACGGGTCGTGCATACGGGATACGGTACATGCAGTCAGTACCTAGGCCACGACTCATCAAGCTCAGTAACCTTACATCCCTTTATTCACCTCATGACTCCCACGATATAGTACCTAGCCCATGAGACGAGCTGATTGATGAGGCAATCATGAGTATTTGATATCCATTTTTCTATTTCAAGCAGCTCTCAGGCTCTTCTTCAACTGCGAACTACATACAACATTCGGGACTAAGCATTCCGGATGAGCCTCTTCTAGCCGAGCTAAAGCATTCACTCATAATTCCGACCTGAAGATGCGGGCATCTCTTGCTTTCGCCGTCGCATTGCTTCTCCGCCGAACAGCCGCCCTGGAATTCAACTTAGGTTCTGGCGTTCAGAACTCTTTAGGTTCGAACGGCGGCACTAGGCCTCACCACGACTTGGATCTCTCAAGCCTAGCTTCTCACGCGCGGGAGGATGCCCAGAGTCCTGTTTCGTGCACACTCTGCGAGGTACGTCGGTGTCCTCGGTGAGATATCGTGATAGATCAGCCACCTGACTGTCATCTACCTAGGCCCTGTTAGCACAACTCAAGATCGCGGCGTCGAGAGGGGACGGGTTCTTCGTCGGCGTCACTACGGAATTATGTAAACGGTTAAGGGTACTTCCCCAACCCCCTGTTGAGGTCTTCCTCAAGACAAAATAATATTATATGCTAACGGAAATATATGACAGATCCAAGACGACGATGTCTGCGAAGGCTCTATAGCCTTGGAGGGTCCGGTTATAGCTCATGCCCTACGCGATATCAATGTAGGATCCAAGACGTCGGTCCTCGCATGCGTAGCGTTCATGGGCCTCTGCGATTATCCCAAGGTCGATGCTTATAATGTTTCTTTTCCTTCTCCTGCGCCACCTTTCAAACATCGTCCTCCTCCGAGTGGACTGAATCCGTTGCATGTTGTGCATTATTCCGATATCCACGTTGATCCTTTTTATACCGAGGGAGCCAATTTCAATTGTACGAAACCTATCTGCTGCAGGTAAGAAGTCATCTTCGTCTGTGAGCTCGCGGTCATTGAAGGGCGGTGCATGAGAACAAACCCAGCATGTTGGTGGTTTTGACACAGCGTTTCCATGAGTAT